TGTGTGGGTGGGTGGGTGTGCATGTGAGTGGGTGAGTGTGTGGGTGGGTGGGTGGGTGAGTGTGTGGGTGTGTGGGTGGGTGTGCATGTGAGTGGGTGGGTGGGTTGGTGGGTGTGCATGTGAGTGGGTGGGTGGGTGAGTGTGTGGGTGGGTGTGTGGGTGGGTGTGCATGTGAGTGGGTGGGTGTGCATGTGAGTGGGTGGTGGGTGAGTGTGTGGGTGGGTGTGTGGGTGGGTGTGCATGTGAGTGGGTGGGTGTGCATGTGAGTGGGTGGGTGGGTGAGTGTGTGGGTGGGTGTGCATGTGAATGTGTGAGTGTGTGGGTGGGTGTGTGGGTGTGTGTGCATGTGAGTGGGTGTGTGGGTGGGTGTGCATGTGAGTGGGTGGGTGTGTGTGCATGTGAGTGGGTGTGTGGGTGGGTGTGCATGTGAGTGTGTGTGTGGGTGTGTGGGTGTGTGTGCATGTGAGTGTGTGGGTGGGTGGGTGTGCATGTGAGTGGGTGGGTGGGTGTGCATGTGAGTGTGTGGGTGTGTGTGCATGTGAGTGAGTGTGTGGGTGGGTGTGCATGTGAGTGTGTGTGGGTGGTGTATTGCAGCCTGGCGAGCGCTAGGACCTTGAGGGGAGCCGGTGGTCCCGGGGCTGAACCCCCCACCACACTTGTGCTCGGGACTGACCGTCAGCGGCGTTCTGCTTTGCACCGAACCAGGAGTGCGCCGAGTGCCGTGTCGGGAGCCGCTCTGCCGGCAGTTTGACGCAGACTATGGGTAGTGTACGGTCATCACTCGGGTGCCACTGTGGATCAGCATAAATTAACGGAGGTTGTGTTAGCATAAAGCGCGTTCCCGTGTTGCGCACACGCCGCCTGCTCTAACCCCCGCCAAGCGCTGCTCTCTCTGCTGTGCTCTCTCTCTGCTCTCTCTGCTGTGCTCTCTCTCTGCTCTGCTCTCTCTCTGCTCTCTCTGCTGTGCTCTCTCTCTGCTGTGCTCTCTCTCTGCTCTCTCTCTGCTCTCTCTGCTGTGCTCTCTCTCTGCTCTCTCTGCTGTGCTCTCTCTGCTGTGGCTGTCTGTGTGTGGCTGTGTGTGTGTGTGGCTGTGTGTGTGTGGCTGTGTGTGTGGCTCTGTGTGTGTGTGTGTGTGGCTGTGTGTGTGTGGCTCTGTGTGTGTGTGTGGCTGTGTGTGTGTGGCTGTGTGTGGCTGTGTGTGTCTGTGTGTGTGTGTGTGTGTGTGGTGTGTGTGTGTGTGTGGTGTGTGTGTGTGTGTGTGTGTGGCTGTGTGTGTGTGGCTGTGTGTGGCTGTGGCTGTGTGTGTGTGTGTGTGTGTGGCTGTGTGTGTGTGTGTGGCTCTGTGTGTGTGTGGCTGTGGCTGCAGCACTGGGGGCTGTGCTACAACTTTCACATCTCAGGCTTTGCCGGACTCCAGCCGTTGAGATCACATCGGATCGGATCATCACATCACCTCCAAACACCCAGGTAAGCAAGAGGTCCACTTGTCTCTCTCCCCCCCCCCCCACCCCCCCTTCCCCATCCCCATCCCCATCCCTCCTCACCCACTCACCCACCCACTCCTTCCCAAACGTTACCTGTGTGATTTTCTCCCTCTAAAAAAAGACAAGCACTCGCCCGCTATAAACGATGCCTCCTTTCCTGCCCTCAACCAGGACTGTGGGAGAGGATATTAAACTATATCCCCCCCCCCCCCCCTGGTGGATGAATCCCCTGCCCACCGCAGCTCGTCTCCGCTCAACAGATCGTCCTGGTTTCAGGGAAGATGTGTTCAAGCCGTCGTTGGGGTTGTTACTGTAGTTTTTTTTTATTAGTAGTATTATTATTTTTTTTTTTTTTTTGCCCGGGTTTTTGTTTCCGATTCCCGAATCGGAGCTGTCAGCATTGAGATCGGGAGGGGGAGGGGGGAGAGAAAAAAAAAAACCGAGTTGGGAACACTGGATCGTCCTGAAGTCTGTGTTTGATCACTGGCCATCCCTGGTCTTGTCACTTTGGTGATAGCCACCGAGAGCTGCACAGCACTGCTGTAGCAGCACTGAGAGCCACACTGTCACAAACCACATGAACACATCTCACATGTGCACACACATACGTGTGTGTGTGTGTGTGTTTGTGTGGGGGGTGGGGTATATAGTCTGCACGTTATTTCACATGCATGTGTCCTCCCTGCTCTGGTGTAATGCAGACAGCACTGTGCAAACCACAGCGCTACTTTGGAGATTGCACTGAATGTGGCAAAACCGACTGTGCACATTTCCACCGCCTGTTGGGTACCAGCGAGTCGCAGTCAAACATATCCAGTTCAATTCCACACTTGTAGAGGTGTCTCGCAGTTCCAAAGCTGCTGCTGCTGCTTTTTTTTTCCCCCCCCTCCCCGACGCCCGATCTCAACGCTGTGTTTCAACTTTTCTTCAGGACCAGACATGAACAGGCAACTGATGAGCAAATTGCCATCTTCAGCCCTTGTGAGTGCGGTGCTGGTGGTGTGCTGGCTGGCAGGGTGAGTAGGGTGGGAGGGGAGGGGAGGGGGTGGGGGTGGATGTCAAACCTCTTTCTATTCTTCTTTTCACGCTGACCTTCTGCAAAACTTCATTCATTCTGCAAGACCAGGCAGGAACGTGTCTGACTCAAACCAAATACTCTCACTGATCCATTACGCGAATTGCGGTGTTTCTACCGTGAACGCCTTTCAAATGAGGGTCTGAAGCAAATTCTTATTCCAAGGCATTCTGCTACACGAGACCCGCATATCTGCTCAATGTTCAGCTTATCCATTAAGAGAGAGAGAGATGGCAATGTAAACTGAGGTGTATGCCATACAAACACATGCAAGCAGTTAGTATTAAGACACTGCATTTTATATAACACGCACTCACTACGCAAGTTTTTATTTTGGGGGGACATCTATATATTGTAGTTATCGTAAAAAGAAATTGCGAGTGTACAATAGGTGTAGTATTATCAGCGACTGAAACGTGCCCTTTCAGGACCTCCCCAAAATGTGAAATATATTTTGTATGAAAGACAAGAGTAGATATTTATGTGTGTATTATATATTATATATAATGCATTTAACAACAAATGGGCAATTGATATATATATATATAACAGGGTTATCAATTGCCCATTTGTTATTAAATGCATTTTATATATAATTGACAATAGGCTTACTTGGTTGCTTTGTTGATACTTTCATGTGAATTGGAAAATATCAATGAATTCAAGGCAAAAGGTTTCCAGAACAGCTGCCATGTTGAAGACTTGTCAATTCCAAAATGGCAGGGAGTAAACAGAGCCCACAGTGAGCAAAATATTTGGTGCAAAGGTAACCAGTTTTTGGGATGTCTTTAGGGAGGGGGTAGTTAAGTTCTTAGATGCTACCAGCTGTAGTTTATAGAACATGAAAGGTTGTTTTTCACCTGGGCTACTTTGAGAAATTAAAAGCTACTACTGATGTAAAACCTCTAGGTGGAGTCAGTACACAACTTCATAAAACACAGCACGTCCAGCAAAGCCAACCAACAAGGCATTTTAATAATACTTAAAAATGTGATATTGCTTGTCCGCTTGATTAACACGGTGATATATACATTTGGGAAATAAGATTAAACATATGAAAAAGCCCTTATTAGCAGCATAAAGCAGTTATGTTACTGCAAAACATTTGCAATGCTCTTCTTATGTTAGGGTCACAGCAAAATCATCTCTCAAACTGTCAGTCACTGGGGCTGTTTGATTGTTGACTGAGCAACATTGACCCTGGGTGAGAAGGGGGTGTACAAACAGGAGTACTCAGTCATTACAATGAGCTCAAAAATACACACTCAGAAAGTAATAAATCAGCTATTGGTAGATAGATCAAATGCATAAACTGCATTAAAAATAATCTTCTTTTGAAAACTTACTCTGTAGGCTGTAGGTTAAGTATAAATTGAATAATTTCACAGTGTGCTATGACTCAAATGTTTTTGAGGTGTCATCATAAACCACATGAGAGCAAATCTTAAGTGTTTCTGAAAACAGCATAACCAGTAGGAGTATCTTCCAGAAAGATAGATATTTCTTTCAGTTCAAGTAACACATTTTTAACCATCATGATTCTTCCTTTCTTCTATAAGTCTTGTAGTTACTTTCTAATCAGGACATGGCTTCACAGGAGTTGACTGTCTCTGGTACCTTGCTGAAGATATTATTAATAATGTGTGAGGGTTGTCAGTGAACATTGGTAGGCTATTTGTATGGGACAACACAATCTGATTGTATCCTCATCCTGTGTTCACACTGAAAGGTTAATAGAAAGCAATTGGGAGTGGGACCTCGCTGATTTGCTTCCTCCCTAACCCAGTGTGCTGAAACTAATTGTAGTGCTCCTAGTGCCACTCTGACTGAAATCAGCTGACTCCACACTGGCCAAAGAATTGAACCTGGGACCCTTCCAATCTCTCTACGCAGCTGCTCACTGAATATACTTGCTGAGCCATCAGCGAGCCTAGTAATGATAATGATAATAATGATGATAATCTTTCTATTTTATATGGTATCTTATCACGTTGTCAAGATGTCTCAAAGCACTTCACAGAATATACCGTAAAGTGGGTTGACTATGTATTTTGGGGGTGAAACAAAGTACCTATTCTATTAAAAATAGAAAATTTTAAAAAGTAATCTGTATGTTTATAAATAAACGACTGTATACCAGTTCTAAATTATAAAATGTATGAAATTATAAGGCAAAATAAGATTATACATTTAGAATTACACTATTTATTTATGCACAGGTTCACAGGTGTTAAATGTAAGGAACAGAGCAGAATAACACTGAGCCCATTTAGCAAGGTATTCTCTGCATAGAGTGTAGGACGCAGAGTAAACCAATTCATTATTGAGCATTAATTTTCAGTCTTGCAAACATAGTACAGTAGTTCAGTAGAAATATGTGAAACAAAGAATATTGGGAAGTTACATACCATAGACAAACTATTGCATATGCTCTTTTTCTCTAATGTACAAATAATTCAAAGAGCAGGAGTGGAATTAGATTAAGCCTTTCAGAATCACGTTAGTGATGCAATTAACAATCCTTGCATTTGATATAGCACCTTATCATGTTATCAAGACGTCTCAAAGTACTTCACAGGATTTACTGTGTAATATAGTTACTGTGTATTTGGAGGTAAAAGGGGCAGCCAATTTGACCCATAAATAATCATGAAATGAATGACCAATTGTATTTGGGATATTTTAAGTAAAGTTACCAGGAGAACCTCCTTTCTTTTTTTGATGAGTGCCAATGGAATCTTTAACATCTACCTAAACAGGCAGATAAGACCATGGTTTAAATTTCTATCTGACCTGAAAGATGGCATCTCTGACAATGCTGATCTCCCAGAGCATTGATCTGGAGTGCCAGACTAGACTGTATGTTCAAAATCCCGATGTTAGGCTTGACCTTGTGACCTTCTGACTCAAAGCCAAGAATGCTGCAAATTGAGGCAGGTTGACCCATGCACATCATGGTTAGAATTAACAGCCACATTGCTGGTAATATTTAATGATTTGTTTAGTGTGCAATGGGGAAAGGTCTGGTCTACATTTTGCATTCAAATTTTCTGGTAAGAACAGAGAGGCCTTTGTAAGGAATCTGATCATGTCTGATCATGTTTTTAAAAAAATGACTTCTGGCTTATACATTTTTGTTCTGATGAACAATAATTGTTTTGAATTTCTATTTGTATTTGAAGTTGAAAACTAAATAAATTCCTAAATTGAATATATGGTTTCAGTTCTCAACCAGTGAATTAGGAGTGATGTGAGTTTCAAAGAACTACGACAATCACAAAATTATCAAAACGGTTTGTATCAGAGTCAAAATTACTGTCTAGTGGATCATGCTTCTGCCATCTGTGCTCAACACAGGGCAGCTATTCACTAAACATGTGGGCGATAGCAGCCTACACCTATACCTCTGTGCCAAGCAAAACAGCACTCCTATCCTTTCTCCCATTTGCACTTCTTTAGCTATAGAAACATAAGCTCACAAATACCACCCACACTTACCATTTTTATTACTATCCTTCCAGGAGCACACATTGGAAGTTCTCATAACCAGGAGACCCAAACATCCATTCTTAGGCAACGTTTTGTGAAATAAGAAAAGGCCTGAGAGAGAATATAAAGAATTAAAATACTATTCAAAATAGCTCTTGTATCTGCCAGTTAAAATTAGTGATGAACTTATCAATTATGATTTGACTTTAAGAGGCTTATGATGACTGTGGGATGACTGGCAATCATCTGTCAAAAACAATTATTGACATGCAGCAGACAATAGTATCTTCAAGTCACAAACTTGCTGGAGAATGTCACTGAGCAATAAGAAAAGACTAATGCTATTAAGTGTAGGTGACATATAGGTGCCCTTTTTACAACCTGTCTCGAAAAGAATTTTCCTTTGGCAGAGTCGCAGGTGGTGAATCATAAGTATCAAAAAGATAACCCTTATATGTCAAGCCACTTGAATCCACTCATAAACCTATTGTAATTGGAATGTTCCTATATCCTTTTCTCCAAGAAGTGAGTGGAATTGTATTTAGTTTGGTGGGTGTAGTATATGTCATGAAGGAGCTCCTTAAAGGTTATTTGTAATTACCAAGCAACACCATTGGATTTCTTTTTGTTTCCTCCTTGTTTGAAGATTCAATCTGTTTCTGGGAGACATTACACTAAGAAAAAGGGCAAACTTGCATGTTTATAATGTTGTATCACATTGGAATGCCTCAAAGAGCTTCACAGACATTGATATCAAATTTGGTGGACAGTGTGCAGTAAAATAAAATGAGGATGGAGTTTTGTGCAATTCAGTGTAAAAATAACTGGCTATTCTGTCAGGTTCTCGATTATATGCCATGAGTTTCTAATGCCATAAAAATTCAAAGCACCGTTAGTTTAACAAAGCAGCTGTGGTTTCAAATAATCAGATACCATCAGGTAAACATATTCAGAGCTTCCTAATGACTCGATTCTGACAGGTATTATCCTGTGTAGAATTGAATCAGGCTTAGGAAGTCCCATGTTTGATCCACGTATGGCACACTTACCCTCAGCCCTAGGTTAGGGAGGTGGAAATCATTAGAATTCCTGATGTGGGTCACTATTGATGAACGCTATTGGAAAGTACATGTGTGTGGATGTCAGGTCAGCACAGAATTTTGTTTGTCTGTTCTATGTCCTGAAGTTGTGCTCACTATCTAGACTCTGCATTGGTTACTTGGGGAGTAGTCTTTGCTGTGGAACCAGCAAGAGTCAGTACTGCCAAGCGAAGAGGAGAGCAAAGTGGAGGGTAAAATAATATTAAAAAAACTCATTGTTTTCCAAATGTAAATAGGATAGTGAATGTTTAGTAATCTAATATCAGGGTCCAATGACAATCATAAACCATTTTTGCTCCACTTTCACAGTTTATAATGATTTCTAAACCTCCTAAACAGATTACAATGTCTT